TTTTTTTTTTTTTAGACTCTTCATCCTCTCTGTTCTTTCTCTCTCTCTCTCTCTCTCTGTCCGAGTTCTATCTCTCTGCGCGAGACCACCTTACAAATGAAAGCCCCGCTCGAATTTCATTGGCTGGAAATTGCGATCGTTTCCTACATACATATCGAATACCGCGGGGCCATTCCGCGAATTCTTGGCGTTCCGCGTGCGAGTCGAGCGTCCCAGCGGTGGAAAAAAACGGGGCCGGAGCTTTCACCGGGTGCCAGCTGGCCAAGGGAGTGGGCGAGAAACGGAAACGACAAAGACAAAGCGGGCCAGGCAAGAAGTTCCTCCCGGCCCGAAAGTCCCCCGGGAATGCGAACAATCCTAGTATCGAGTATCTCTTTTCCACGTTTCCCTCTGACTGGCTGTGTTTTCGACGGCTGGCTTTCCATCAAACGGTTCCCTCTATCGGTGGCAGCGAGCGTGCCACTGGCGAGCCGAAAACCCAAGTTCCAATGTCGATTAAAAGGGCGAACTTTCGTCGTCGGTTTTCGTGTATATTTTTTCTTGCACGAAGAGTGGTTTCCGGTTGATCTTTGTGCTTCGACGCGCTTGCAAACAAAGCGTGATCGTTGTGAACGAGATGGTTGATAAATCGGTGACGCGCGACATTTGGGGGCCGCGAGATTTCGTTTTCCGTTCTCCGAATTTTGCATTATCGAGCTTCCTAATGGTTTATGTAAATACACGTGTTCGTTGTGTATATTTTTCGTACGTGAGCGTAGTAAATCACCGTTTAATTGACGAAAATTGACAGAAAAATCAATAATTTCGTATTACGTACAGACGTAAATAGTATAAATAAAGTTGGAAATCATATAGATAAAATTTATACTGTTATCAATCATATCCAATGACTTTAATTTTGTTAAAGTTCTCCATTTTGTACAGTTAGGCAAAAAAAAAATTTTTAGAAACAATTTAAATTTATTTCACTTAAATTAAAATTTTCATAACTACATCACTGAAAAAATAGAAACTGAAAAAAATTTGTTTTATCTACTATATATTATAACATACTTCGTTTTAGATAATTTATATAAGTATTTTTGCATACATTGTATACGTTGTACATGTATTTTTGCAACTCGCAATTTTTCATAAGTGTAATTAATTAATTTAACGTACAGATTCTTCGGACTGAGTGCATGTACAACCTCTGCTTAAAGATTTTAGGGCAAATATTACATTCGTTGCAAAATTGAAAAAATTATGCGACGACAAATCTATAAAATTCTTAATACACTGACAATTAAACTGCACTTGAAATTAACAAATATATTAATATGCGCGTGCAATTGGAAAATGTTATTCGAAGATAAAAAAGTATCCTAGGACTTTTGAGCGGTGCACTTGCACCGCGAATTATTTTCAAAAGTACGTTTTACTCGGTGAAATTACTCCCTTCCATTTCCATCTGTACACCGTTGTCACCATCGTCGATACTTCGATTAATGGCGAATTACGTTTATATTACGTTAACCAGTTACGACATTCCAATAAATTTCATTGTCGATTGCGACATTGCGCCAATGCGCGATTTCCATTGTTCGAAGCGACGGTGATTACATCGGTTGAACGCT